CCCCCCCCTAGGCGTGTTATCAATAGCACCAAGCAGTATCATTACAAACAGCAGCATCCGTGAATCCCATCCGTCATGGATGGCTTATCTGGAGCCATTCGCACCAGGCAAGGGCAAATACAAAGAACCTCATAAAGCACCCTTCAACCTCGTACCAAGCATACGTACCATACATCCTGACGGCTAGTCATAACCTACGACCCTCTCCCAATTCCCACTATCCTGATTAGTCCGACCTGGACAAAACAGCCATTTTAACGTTGCCCCGTCCACCTACCTGCATCCAAGTACACACGGCCAACCTAACCTCACTTTCCCCATTGATTGACAGACCATATCATACGAGTCAGCTACCGCTCGCGTTACCCTCCGATGAGAGTCACTGTACCAAGCACAAGGAAAAGACTTACCACGAGATATATTCGTACCACAATCCACCCTTAAACCACCCCGCACTATATGAACCGCACGGTTTCCGCTTTACTACCCCATAAACTGCAGGACATGCTACGAGTGTGGTTTCGACATGGCGCTACCCAATGACTACGGTCACACCCAGGCGCGTCAGGAACGACAAGAGTTTGCACGGCAATGAAGCATTCCATAGTTTTAAGTGGCGCGCCTTCTTTACCTACAGCGTCAGCGGACGCTTGGCGAACTACTAACCATACGCCGTACGTGGCTACGGACGTTTTAGAAACTTCTATTTAGTCCCGAGACCATGGAGGCTAGCCTCCATGCCCGAGTCTTTAGACAGTTTGCCACTAACTGGCACATCTCCTCATTGGAGCAGGCAGCCATAAGGAAAGGAAGGACAGTTTGCCGCTAATACCCTAACCTAACGTCTACACTTGGGATACCTGCTACGGCTTAGATCCCTCGATGTATGTACATCCGTGCGTGCCGATTGGTCCCATGACACTTGAACGTTAAATCCAGACGGTTTACAGCAGCGATACGCGTCGGGCTTCGCTCTGGCCACTAGGAGGTTTTATCGCCCTGAAATACCGACCGCTGGGTGATCATTGGCAGTGGGGATTCCGTAAGCCCGTTAGAATTTCTCCAGCCGTGTGGTGTTACGTTTTAAGAGTTTTACCATAGAGGGAAGTGTCGTAAAGCAAAGCTGCTACCTTTGACGTCTGTTTCGCCAAGTGGAAGTCTGTTCTTGGCTGTTGTGACGAAATCGAGGTCGCCCGGAGTCCCGGTCGTCCAGGAGGATTCTTTGTTGCGACGGTAAGTAGCGACGAAGACTATGCGCAGTAGCACGCGCGACTTACGTATGAATGTAAAAGGACGCTGTAACAGTTGGATGCTGCTTTTTCGTTATAATAAATAGTAATGCAAATCTTAAGGGGTCCCAGAAATGGTGCGTCAGTCCGTTGTGTCGAGATCGGAGTGCTACGCGAATTTAGACGAGAAACTTTTAATTAGTTAGCGATCCTCTGTACGAGATGCTTGAGAGGGAGTGAGATATTCTGTGATGTAAATTGAAATTCTCTCTCTCTCTCTCTCTCTCGCTCTCTTCGTTACAAGTTTTCTCTTACAAATCATCGCAGTCAAACTATATCGAGTGGTTGCTCAGCCGACTTTTATACTCATGACAATTTCTGTCGCGGCTTTTGAATTTTATATGAAATTGTCTGGCCCGATAAAATTATTGTCACGCTCAATTATTATTGTTATTATTTAAATAATTATCGCACGGATAAAATTGTCACTCACAAGTATCCACTCGGGTTCCTGCGCACGGTGGCGTGGAGGTTATTAAAATTTATCTAATCAGGACTTGAACTTTCGGAATATTGCGAAATAGCGAAATTTACGTAATTACCCTAAAGCGAGGCAACTTTTTTAATCGCCGCCATTTTACCTGGCATAAGTGCATTATCGCTTTCCCGTCAGTCTCGAGGGGCTTCCGTACTAATTTTAAATGAACATTTGAATTTCCCGCGTATATAGTTATACGTATAGACAAGGTAGTACGTTAGATTCAATGACGGTACACCTTTAGTATCTCCAATGGAAACTTGACTTTGTGAATTTTCGACTCAGGGCATAAGGGAAAGGGGCTGGTGAATATTTCGCAAGACCGCAAAAGAGAGACGAGCCTCGTTGTCGTCCTCTGCAATTTATTTCTCATTTCGCTCGAATAATTAGAGGCAGGGTACGCCATTATCGTGGAGGGTAGCGTTCCTTATGGATTTCACCTAACCTAACCTGCTGTCTCATTTGGGACCTTCCAACTCATATCAGAAAGGGCGTGAACGTAGTCTATACGTTACAGATACTAAGAGCGGGTATCCTGCCGATACGATCAGACCGGAAACTTTTGACGCAGATGAGATCTTAAGGAGGATACGACCGGCAGGATGCTGATGGGAGTGACGTCATTGATGACGTCAATGACGATAACGGGAATGATAGGGGGTCGATGGTAATGTTAATGGCGTTTGATAATAATTTCGAGAGAGGGAAACTGTGCCAAGGAGTGATCAGGTGGGCGGACGGGGACGGGGGGGGGGGG